CTGGAGATATTCCAGCCCCGCCTGGACGTGGTGCTGTGCAGCCTGCTCTGGGTGACCCTGCTTGGGCAGGGGGTTGGACTGGGTGAACCACAGAGGTCCCTTCCAACCCCCGCCATTCTGTGATTCTGTGATTCTGTGAAGGCAGAGCCTCCACGCTGCGCAAGCACTGCTCAGTGGCAGCTCAACGCTGCTCTGTTTTCGGCGCTGTTTTGGCCACAAATCCATAACACAGCGCCGAGTTAACTCCATCCCGGCCAGACAGCTCAAGCAAAGGCGTCTGCGTGTGTCAGGTGTTACACGTGAGCAGTCTCCGTTACCTTCTTTCAGATTCCTCACCCACTGATCGCGGCTTTGTGCACTTGGTGCAAAAATATAAAGCGTGTTAGCATCGTACACAACCTGGAGGTGGGAAAAAAGAGATCATCAAAATACATTCACCTGGTAATGTGGATTTATTTATTCCTCAGGAAACAGCACAAGACAAATGACTGTCGCATTTGGCAAAATCAGTGTACACAGGCGCCAAATGCCAAAACTGGAAGAAGGTTACGAGGCTTTACTATTCATATATGAGGCTTTCAGTAGAATAAGGAAGGGGTTTGTAATGGTACATTATCTCATGAGCATTCCTTCGAAATGTTTGCTTCACGCTTTGCTGTGTTCATTCTTCACCGTGTGTTTTCGACAAACAGTTCAATGTAATTGCGAAAGCGATTTGGTGATCAGCCACCCTTCATTCCCGGCCATTTCACAACTCCTTGGGATTCGGTACTGCTCTGGGGTAACTCCCCACTTCTTTTTCTTCACTGCTTGCACTGGTGGAAAGCAGCCAGTACCCCCTTTGCCTCTATCGTAAGCAGGCACAGCATTCGACCTCCCGTATCTAAGCTCTTCTTCTTCCCCTCTACGCACTTTGTTTTCTGCAGGTTTTTTCCCATTAAATTCACAACCAAAGAAAACGCAACAAGGTTTACCTTAATTTTCTTATGCTTCTATAATAGTAACTAAATTTAATTTAATTTAATATGAAGAATGAAGACAGGGAAAACAGGCTGCCAAGTTGACCCTTGACTAGGACAAGGCACTTTGGAGGCCAAGCCCCAGCAGAGAGGCTGGGGAAAGGGAGAAGACCAAGCATGTGAGGCCCAGCTCGCAGGGCAGGGCACTGCAGGGGAGCAGGGCTTGCTGGAGGGGGAGGGTTCAGTCACCAGTCCTGACCCCCCCTCCCAAGCAGCCCCAGAGCCAGGGAACAGACCCAGTGCTCAGACGCGGCAGCAGGTTCACCCCCATCCCAACC